GTTTTTTCCTGAAAGTATAGTTACAACTTTTTGCAATAACTAAAACCTCCATGACATAGAAAACAGTTCAGCATAAATGTTAAATTTCTTACACTTTTTAGCCAATGAAGTAGTTTTTTCAGGAATACTTTTTTTGACCTTTTAAAAAATTTTATCCAGAAGTGTCTTTGTCTCAGGAAAATAAGTTTCGATTCATGGCTTATAATTTAATTACATACTAGTTTTGATACATCAGCCATCTTCCCTATATTATTATAATTACCTGTTAATTCCAAGGAATTTTAGTAATCTAGGTAGATAAATTGGGCTTATCTAAAAACTAGAAAATTCTATGTACCTCATAACTATTTATTTGTGCTTTTAAACACTAAAAGCACAGAAATATAAGAAAATTGCAATGTAAATGTAAAAGAGTTGAGAAGACTTTTCCTTAAACCAAACTTACATTGTGGGTAAAAAGTAGAAGCAAGAGCATCAAAAATATAAAAGCTTTTTAAAATTTTATTTAATGTTTGGATATCTATGGTAATACCTATTGTATCCCATACTATAAAAATAATCTTTAAACTCTGTCATGATACCTCCACCCTGATTCAGAAAATAAAAATTAAAAAAAAAAAATTCTAACATTTAAAGCATGAAAGCACACGTATGTATTTTCTACAACCTTTACGTTAAAAAAGTTCTCATAATTTTTACCAATGGAACCTACCTTTTTTCTTTTTAACTATTTTGTGGCTGGATAATAAAGACTGTCTTAAATCATGTAAGAGCTTTTACAATAAGCTTAAGTTTCAAGATTTTTTGTTATACTTACTCTCTTTTCTTTTTCTCAATTTTTTTCCCTATCCGCAGCTATACCAGCCCAATATTAATCAGCTCTTGGGCAGCTGCTATTACTTAATGTGGTCTATTTAATTGAAGGACATTTCAATTGTTTGTAAGTCAGATAGTGCATATATACCAACGCACATACATATATACATACATATGTATATGTAGTTCTGGCCATAAAAATAAATTTTTTATTATCCAAATAAATACAATTTTCAAGTGAGACAGCAGGGAGATTAAATGATGAGCACTGAATTCTGAGGGGTCAAGTGTCAAGGAATTTTAAGTACAGTGATAACATAAATTTTCTTAAGCCAACAACATCCTTACATATAATCTCCTCTTCTACAAGGAAAAGCCTTTTTTTTTTTTTTTTTTTTTTTTGAGACAGAGTCTCACTGTGTTGCCTGGGCTAGAGTGCCGTGGCGTCCTCCTAGCTCACAGCAACCTCAAACTCCTGGGCTCAAGCGATCCTCCTGCTTCAGCCTCCCGAGTAGCTGGGACTACAGGCATGCGCCACCATGCCCGGCTAATTTTTTCTATATATATATTTTTAGTTGTCCAGATAATTTTTTTCTATTTTTAGAAGAGACGGGGTCTCGCTCTTGCTCAGGCTGGTCTCGAACTCCTGACCTTGAGAGATCCACCCGCCTTGGCCTCCCAGAGTGCTAGGATTACAGGCATGAGCCACCGCGCCTGGCGAGAAGCCTTTTTACACTTCCCATAAGTACTTTTAGTGGCTTCCTCCTGTGTACTCCCTTAGCACGTTGTACACACCTGTGATCAAGTCTTACCGTATTGTAATTATTTATTTACGGGTCTATCTCTCTCACTAGACAGAATTCCTTTAGGGATGGGATGATGTCTTATTCGTGTTTGAATCCCTAGTATATATCACACTGCCAACCACATATTCAGTATTCAGCTAATGTTTATCAAATATAATGTCTTCATTCAATAAGCAATTTTTACAGTCAAGGAATCTAGGAGTGAATGTTGAATGAGAAAATTACCATCAATATCCTTTAAAAAAACATATTCCATATTACATTTTAAAAATGGTTCATAAATTGATTTATACACAGTCTCTCAGTAATATACTCACTTGCACACATCATTAACTTAGATAATTCAAAGTCATTATAATTGAAGTTCCACATTGGGGTTCAAATTTATTGAGAAATGTTGAGACATATGAAAAGGCATAAAGACTACTATGATAAATACTCATGTGCCCACCGTCCAGTTTAAGAAATAAAATATTACTAGTACAGCTAAGCTCCCTTTACCTCTCCCCAATTTCATCCTGCTTCCAACCCCACCCTGCTAGAGGGGGATGTTGATCATTGTGGTATATTTCCTTACGCTTTTACTACCTATGTTTATAATCCTGAACAATATATAGGATTATATGACATGTTTTCAAACTATTGTAAGGATAGTATCATACTGTGTATGTATTTATTTGTACTGTTTTCCTCTCAATATTATATTTGTTATATTCATTCATGTAGATAAATGTATTCCTATTTCATTTATTTTCATGGCTCTTTTCCACCAAAATGCACTATTCAATCATTTAAATATTTTCCTGTTGATGGACATTTAGGTATTTCCAATGGTTTTAATTTTACAAATAAGGCTAAGAATATGTTTTTAAAAGTCCTTGGTAAGCCAACTACTGTGGTAAATTAGGGGATTTAAACTATTTAGGGAATAAAGTCTACTACTATTTTTAGACTCTTTACATTTTGCCCTTATGTTTGGGGTCTAACAATAAATGTGCTAATTAGATTTCCATTTATTGAATTACCTTGGTTATTTTTTCATGACTGACTTTGCGTCTAAAGAAAATTTGAATCAACTTAAACAGAAAACATTTAAACTAAAATAAAGACAAGTTACCATGTTATTTCAGAAAACCTAGATTGAGATCTCATATCATCTAAGTCTAATAATATATAGAATTCTTCTAACCCCAGATTACTATCCCCATCAGCAATATTTGAAAAATATTTGAAAATATTACCTTTTAAATGTTGGAAATTAATTTTTAATTTAAGTTTGACCTCAGTTAAAGAAGATAAATTGTCAGATTACATACCAAACTGTATCTTAAACTTTGAAAATATTTCTTTTGTATAATAATTGGACAAGAATTCCCTAGACTTCAAATAATTAAGTTTTTAGAGCAAGATATATGGACAGTGGTGAACAGCAAAACAATAAGATATTTAGCCAACTAAAAACAAAATCAGGTATGCATAATGAGTTTTAAAATTTGTGACAAAATGATTATAAAAGTAAACTGGACTACCTTAGTTTGTATCAATGAGGGAGGTCTCCTGAAATGCAACTATCCAATTTCTTTGTGAATGTTTGGACAAATCACTAAAATATCTAGCCCACTAAAGGCTTTACCCTATTTATAAATTGTAGTTATTGGCCTTAACCCAGATTCAGATGTTACAGATTAGCCTAAAATCTGAGTCCTGATTGAAACAGATTTAGGTAGACTAACCGCTGAGACTTTCCAATTCACCTTGCTGTAATCTATTTGGTTTCATTGAATGAGACACATGAGGATGCTATAATAAAAACCTTTGATAAGGAGTCCCTAGAGTCAAGGTGTATGCTTAGGCAGGGCATTGTATTTCACAGTGCATAGAAGTGCTTACGTTAAGAAAATACATGCCAATCTCTTGTCAGACTTAGAACTGGTGTTTCTGAATAAGACTGTCCCTTCAGGAAATTGAGTGGCCTGTGGCCAGAGGAGGTATTGTTTTTCTTTTAAGTTCTTTGTTTTCATGAAAAGGCTCTTTGATTCTCAGAATATATTTGTTTCAAGGTAGTTTAGTTTGAATTCACTCATGCTCAGAAGTCTGAAAAGCTTAAACTTTTACAGTGTATGTTTTATAGGCAACCCACACCTGATGAATTTTGAAAAGTCTTTCTATGTCATCAGTTTTAATAATCAGAGCTTGGTTTCTAAAACCTACCTGGTTCTATCATATGGAACCTATAATTAATAGCAATTATATTTTCAAAACAGTAACTTTACCTCGTAGTAACAAATCTTTCTTAATACTATTAAGAGACAAATGTGTAGCTGTCAATTTTGAGTGAGGGGATTCAGTTTCAAAGGAATTTGCCTGTTTATAAGCTTTCTTGAAGTTTAGATATGCTGCCATCGGGTGGTAGTAATATGTCGTGTCCACGTGGCTCTTCAGATGGCACTCTGCTAAAGGTCACCAGTTCACTCCACAAAGATTTATAATCATGAATGTGCAGAATGGTATATGGAAATTAAAATAACGTAGTGTATCTGTTATTTTTATCAGAGCTAAGGTTACTTTGAATGGAATTTTTAAAACAGATATATATTATAAGATTCAATTGGACATGTTTTCCTCTGTTCTTAGTTTATCTTTTTTTTTTGGTAAGTAAAACATTTCATCCTATACCTCGTAAGCATTTAGAAAAATAGAAAAATAAAGTTGAAAGCTTAACTGTATATATCATATCACCCAAATGTAATTGCTATTAATCCTTTGCTTCATTTCCTTCCAGTCTTTTTTTTTATTTGCACTTTTTAGTATGTTTTTATTTTTGTTTTTTGGAGTTGAGTTGGATAGCAGGAAAGGATACTTAGTTTTAGTAACATTGTATGTACAGCTTGTGTCTTTTACAGCTTTTAAAATTACAAGCTCTTTGTAATGGCCTTATGACTTCTTAATATTCCATTGATTGAAGTTTCCCATAATTTATATTCGCCTCTTGGTAGACAATGTACGTTTCTGATTTTTACCGTCATTGAGAGTTTTTATCTCTGCCTCCCATCTACTGCCTATCAAGAGGGCCATTATTGCATTGCATCTATTATTTTTGTTTCAACATGAAAGAATTTCTAATTCATCCCTGAGTAGCTAGATATTTTATATTTCCTCCATTGCATTTTTTACTGCCAGAAAATTTGAACTCTCAGTTTTCAACTATGAATATAAATGTATAGTCTCTTTGTTATTATTTTCATATCATATGAATGTTTTATAATTTTGTAAGTAATACCCAACCAGGTACCACATATAACCTCAGGGCCTGTTATATTATGAGATGGAGCCATTACCTACTTCCTACCAAAATAATTTTTCTTCTCTTTTTTATAGCATAGAACATTGCATTAAAGAAATACAGACTGAAGTTAATAAACAGTGTCCAGATGTGCAGCTGCAAACATCAATTGACTGCTTTGAATGGCTAACTAACTATAATTATAATATATCTAAATCACCTTCCATTCTCCATGGAGAGATGATAAAATTCCTCAGAACACTGGTAAAAAAAAAAAGAATCTTTGTTTTATAATAGAGTGGGGTGGGTGAACAAGGAATACAATTCA